CTTCTGGATATGGCTTTCGTGCATTTCTAGAAGAATGCAAAACCTGAGCTCAAAAGCAGCCTGAACACAGGAGACAAAGCTAGGGAGCATTGTGTGAGCCAACAGTTTTGTCCACTTAGCGTACATCTCACTTATCGGTCAGCGGTTACCTATTTTTAAACATATTTTAAAAAGTCACAATCGATAGCTGACACAGGAAGTCCTCGACCTGCAACCATTCAGTTAGTGGACTATTTGACATTAAGTGACACTGAAAAAAGTCACTTTTTCAACCTTGTTGCTGGTATCCTTACGATTTATATTGACTGTTTCCTAATATGATTTGATTGCTTATTTGTTTCCTATGACTATCATTAAGTGTTGTGCCTTATGATCCTTGTTGAATGTATCTTTTCTTTTTATGTACACTGAGAGCATATGCACCAAAGACAAATTCCTTGTGTGTCCAATCACACTTGGCCAATAAAGAATTCTATTCTATTCTATTCTATTCTATTCTATTCTATTCTATTCTATTCTTACAGCCGGTTCTTGCACTTACAACTGTGAGAGCATCCCCACAGTCACGGGATCAAATTTGGGCACTTGGCAATCAGCATGTATTTACATAGTTGCAACATTCCACTGATTCCCATTTGCGGCCTTCCCTACCAGCTTCCCACATGCAAAGTCCATGGGAGAAGCCCGGTTTGCTTAATGACTGCATGATTGACTTAACCATTGCAGTGATTCTCTTAGCAACCATGGCAAAAAAAAAGGGTGTGATATTGGATGAGGTTCACTTAACCATCATCTTGCTTAGCATCAGAAATTCTGGTCCTCATTGTGATTATAAGTTGAGGACTACCTGTATGTTGTTTGGAGGGGGCAGTCTGGTGAAACAGGGGAGAGCTCTTATCTGATTATGTGTCAATTATTTGAGCTGGCTCATCCCCTCCCCTGCCCCATCTCCCATTACAAGGATCACCTACTGGTGTGGGAGAGTTGATAGTTAAAGGTGGAACTGGTTTCTTCAAAGCTTCAGTTCCTATGGCGCTTCTACTCTGAGATATCGGAGACTTGATGGATAATGTTCCTCACTCCATTCACTTTTCATCTTTCCTAACAACTGCAGCCAATTCTCAGGTTAGGGGAAAGGACAGACGAAGAGGACACATTCTAAAAAATGGCTAAATCCATATTTTTCCAGACAGACGATGAGTAGTTTAAATCCCATGTTTGCCTGCACACCATTACTGTGATCGATAGATGGTTTTTTTCCCTCCGCTTAATTGTGATGAGATGCAGGGAGAGGTCAGACAGGAACACGGAAATGTAAACCCTCACAGCAGTGGTGGAATTCAAATTTTTTTACTACTGGTTCTGTGGGTGTGGCTTGGTGGGCGTGGCAGGGAAAGGATACTGCAAAATCTCCATTCCCACCCCCCTCCAGGGGAAGGATACTGCAAAATCCCCATTCCCTCCCCACTCCTGGGGGAAGGATATTGCAAAATCTCAATTCCCACCCCACTCTGGGGCCAGCCAGAGGCCTACTCAAATTTTCCGCTACCCGTTCTCCAGAACCTGTCAGAACCTGCTGAATAGCACCCCTGCCTCACAGCTTCAACCTCACCCCATTCCTAAGAGGTCCGTAAAGGGGGTGTGCATAAGTGCACCAGCGTGCCTACCATCCCTGTCTTACTGTCCCCATTTATCTGTATTTACTTCCTTTTTTTCATGTTTATGTTCATACTTATACTTGCTACCATGTACATGTTTGAAAAACAAATCAAATAAGAATAAAAAAATAACTATCCTCAAGTCTGAGGCCAGAGGGCCAGAGGGCCTGGCCTCAGTGAGGAATAACAAAATCTCCAGAGGCTTACTTTTCTGCTGGTTCATAGACAGATAAAGAGCACCCTGGCTGGGAAATTCTGGGAGTTGAAGTCCCACCCATCTTAACATTGCCAAGTTTTTGAAAAAATACCGCTTTAAATAAATTGTGGGGAATTGCTCTGTGTAGATTCCAGCAGTGAATACTAAAGCGGAGTATATAAACATCCTTTCCAAATTCTCCAGTGACTCTGTAGGGAATCCCAGGGAAAAGTCCCCAGTGATTGCTAAAAGACAGGGCTTCCCTTTCATGGTGACACTGCTAACTCCTTAACATGCCCAGTCACTGTCACTTCTAGCTGACTATTTGGAAAGCAAAGTGATGACAGGACAGCACAGTTGAGACTCACGATGGCTTGGCATCCCACCTCCTAAAAAAAAAAAAAAAAAAAAAAAGCAGGGAGAGGAGATTATCATGAGCTCAAGATGGCTATGTGACACAGGATGTCAAATCTGCAGTCTAATTAAGCTTTCAATCTTAATTAAGCTTTCTGGCTGCTCTTAAGAATTCAGCCTTGCCTTCAACTGGTTAGCAATGATATTTTATTAGCAGAGGATTCTCTTGAATCCTTTTCTTCCCGACGAAAGGATTCCTCAAATTGCCATCTCAGGTATCCGACTCAGATGTGGTATTCAGCAGGCTCTGACCAGTTCTGGAGAACCGGTAGCGGAAATTTTGAGTAGTTCGGAGAACCAGTAAATACCACCTCTGGCTGGCCCTGCCCCATCTATTCTCTGCCTCCTGAGTCCCAGCTGATCGGGAGGAAATGGGGATTTTGCAGTAGCCTTTCCCTGTCACACCCACCAAGCCATGCCCACCAAGCCATGCCCACAGAACTGGTAGTAAAAAAATCTGAATCCTACCATTGATCCTGCTGCTGGCTAAAGACGGACCAAGGGATAGGTAGTACAAATTCTTTTTGGGCCACTGAATATTTGTGCAGAATGTAACCACTAGATGGGGAAAGAATCATTGTACTGCTTGATACTGCAGGTACATAGACTACCCATCTGTAATGTATGGATAGCTGGCAAACAGCATCTCTGACAAATGCAATTGTTCACTATTCTGTTAGGTGGTGTGTAAGGGCAATGCCGAAATTTCTTTAGTTTTAACATTTCAGGACAAAAAGTCTCTATTCCAGAAATGTGGAATATTTATTCATCCATGAGTTCTACACAATTATTTCCCTGACTTGATACTAGAGATAGATCTCATTTAGCAACTGCCTTGTATGGTGACCGTTTGAAGTTACGATCATGTAGAAAAAACCCCAGCTTTTTGATCAATTCTCACGCTTACAGATGCAGTGCCCTATGGTCATGCGATCGCCATTTGTGGGCTTTGCAACTGTGACAAGCACAGTTAATGGCAGGGTTGAAATCTACTTACCTTCCTTACTGGTTCGGAAGTGCATGCACTGCGCCACATGTGCGCGCAGACCCTCTGCACATGCACAAAACCTTCTGCACATGCACAGAGGGTAAAAAACACATTACTTCCTGGTTAAAACCAGGAAGTAATGACACCTGGGTGGGTGGGCGGAGCCTCGTGCCGCCATTGCTACCAGTTCTCCGAATCACCAGCCACAATCACTACCGGATTGCCTGATCTGGTCCGAACCAGGAGCATTTCACCCCTGGTTAACGGGCAATTCAGATTTAAAATTGTCAGTCATGGTCATGTGATGTTTGTCTTAATGAACACAATCATTCAAGTGGAAGTGAGGCCATATGTCAGTTTTGATCACATGATATTCTGCTTAGGGACCATGTTTCTTAGTGATGCAGTTGTTAGTCCCGATTGTAGTATTTAAGCAAGGGCTATTTGTATTCTTTGTATTTTGCCATCTTTCTCCTTCTGATTAATTGCACAGGCAGACCCAACCAATCACAGATTTCATAGTGAATGGGAAGCCTGGTGATGTTTATTTATTATTAGTCTATGCCGCCCACTCTCTGAGGACTCTGGGCGGCTTACACCAAAGACAGTATACTAAATAGCATATTGCCCCCAAAAATCTGGGTCCTCATTTCACCCACCTCGGAAGGATGGAAGGCTGAGTCAACCTTGAGCCAGTTAGATTTGATCCGCTGATCTGCTGAACTAGCAGTCAGCTGAAGTAGCTGCAGTACTGCACTCTAACCACTGCACCACCTCGGCTCATGTTCCTAACCTTTTTTTTTTTTTAAAGGGACCATCTGTGCTTTCAGACAGGAAAAAGCTGTTGGCCCATCTGGAGACTTTAACAACACTGTTCTCCCAAACTTATTTACCTCTGAGGAAATAATGGGAGCAATTTTAAGGCAGATCTCCCACAAGGAAAAAAATGAGCCATGTCGCAAAGATACCAAACACACTTTCTAGAAGCAAAGAGGACAACTAGCTCTTCGGTAGTGGGATTTTCCTCCTGGCACCAAATTTTCTTTTGGTATGCAAGGAAAGAATTCCTGAGGCAGACTGCAAGCTCCCTACCACTTCTTCTTCTAAGCGGTTATTCAAAAGATGACACAGATGTGAAGAAAATTCACTTTGCACCTTGTGTGCATTTCAAAGAACTCCCTCATCCATCAAGTAGAAAAAACAGTCTGCAGAGACTGCCTTGCAAGACAATGCTACCTGTGATCTTCAAAAGGGGAGAAGAAAACAAGAGAACAGCACTTTGCAATGTCTTAGATCCAAGGGTCTTAATGTTCAATAGGATGAACCCCCTAAAAAAACAATTTGTGTGGCCCCTTCCATGAATGGTAGTAGTGCTGTAAAGATTTCACTGGGTTGAGTTGGGCAAGATATGCTATAAATACCATTTACATGTATTCATTAAATATGTACATGTGTGATAAAACTGTATAAACTGAAACAGTTTCTTTGGAACAACTAATCATATTTAAATCCATACTTTTAACGAGAAGGATGAACTTGTTTATTTTTTGCCTTGCAGCCAGAGGAGAAAATAATGTTTCTATAGATACTGTATAGAATTACCATATTTTTAAATTGGAAAATAAATGAAGACACTATTGTGCTGCTATTGCTGTTTGTTATTAGTATTCTTTTTTGGGGGGGACAAAGACAGGCAATGACTGCTATGTGGATATTGGATGCGTTGGAGATGGGAAAATATGACTTTTTAATTGTCTTTCTCCATTCTTTATTGTGCACAATTATTTTAATCAATCAATCAATCAGCTGGAAGGGTCTTTTTACCCACCAAAGCCAGAACAACAACAACAAAAAATGCTTCTTTGCCTTGAATGTTACAGGTTCTAGATAGATTACAGCGTTGTTCCTTGCCTCAAATGATCTTTTCTTAAACTGCTCTTAAAATCATGTAGCTTGTAAAGCACAAGCATAGTCTCCTAGCACAGCCACCTGGAGATCTCCATCTTTTCCAGACTGATGCTTGGAACTGGTAAACCCTTCCTTCATTCTGGTGATTCTTTTCTCACTGCCAACTTTTCTCTTCCTCTCCATCATGATGTCTCCACAGAGGGAGCATCGCATCAAAGGGTCAAAGGCTTGTACCATTCTGGTAGGTTCACCTTCTGATCACAAACACCATGATCTAAAAGCAAAAAGAATATTAAGGTTTATTAGAGGGCTCTGGAAATATCAGATTGCTTTGGGTTCAGCATACTTTTTAGGAGATGGTTTGATTGAGAGGACTGCATCCAGTTTTGGCCATCACGATGTAAAAAAGATGTTGAGGCTCTCTAGAAAGAGTGCAGAGAAGAGCAACAAAGATGATTAGTGGACTGGAGGCTAAAACATATAAAGAACAGTTGCAGGAATCGGGTATGTCTAATTTAATGAAAAGAAGGACTAGTGGTGAAATGATAGCAGTGTTCCAATATCTCAGGGATTGCCACAAAGAAAAGAGTGTCAATCTACTTCCCAAAGCACCTAAAGGCAGGACAAGAAGCAATGGATGGAAACTAATAAAGGAGAGAACCAACCTAAAACTAAGAAGAAATTTCCTGAGTGTTAGAACAATTAATCAGTGGAACAACTTGTCTTCAGAAGTTGTGAAGGTCCAGCTCCAACGCTGGAAGTTTTAAAGAAGAGATGGACAACCATTTGTCTGAAGTGGAATAAGGTTTTCATGCTTGAGCAGGGGGTTGGATTAGAAGACCTCCAAGGTCCCTTCCAACTCTGTTATTCTATATTCTATATTCCACATATGGGAAGGGGAGTTTTGAGAAATGTTTCCAAGCCTTGAAAGAATAATATTCAGAATCGTATTGAGACATGGATAAAACATTAGTAGTTCACACAACATAAAAAGTTTGGATTCCCAACACTTTCAGGGGCTCAGCACAATTTACATTCAGCTGGTGAGTCTTCGTGCTGAGCTGATCTCTTGCACAACTTTATGGCCACCTAGCTGATAAGATATGGAGTTGCCTTAAAGTGCCAAGTTCCTACACCAGTTCTGGAGCTAAAATCTACAGCAATCAATGATACTCAATAGCAACTTCCCCTAACCTAAAGCCATTTGGAGATTGGAAGCTACCACTCTCATTGTCAGTGCTGGCTGGAAATGAGGAGAACTGTAGGGAAGGTCAATGGACACAGATATGGAAGCTTGTCTTAAGTAGGAAGCTGATTGTTCATGCTTTGCTGCTAATAGGGGATGGCCTTGACATCATTTTCCTTAAGACAGTCCTTACTGCATGAAGCAAAGTTTCAGTCTGTTCTATAAAGCCTCCAAACTTTGGATGGATCCCTTATGAGCGGTGAGAGTCTGTTGAATTGATGAGTCATCTCCTCTACTTGCAGGTTGGCATGATTGCTTGTCTACTCAATACTGTCCTAACTTCATCCCCCCCCCATTATGACCCTCTTTCTTGTATCTGAGCTGCCAGTCTTGACATGCAAATGTGCTTAAATGAACCGTAAGATCCTGGAACTTATTCCATATGTTCCGTGACAAGAAGCCTGGGTGGTGGAGTGGACTAAGTGCTGTTAAAGTAGTATTTAGCTGCCAGCTGCCTGCAATTACTGCAAGTTCAAATCTCACCAGGCTCAAGGTTGACTCAGCCTTCCATCCTTTCGAGGTAGGTAAAATGAAGACCCGGATTGTGGGGGCAATAAGCTGTCTTTGTATAAAAAAAAAGAACACCGCTTAGGGAGGGCTGAAAGCCCTACTAAACAGGTATATACAAAAGTTTGAAGGCTATTGCTTAATGCATTGTAAGCCGCCCTGAGTCTCCGGAAAAGGGCAGCATATAAATCGAACAAACAAACAAACAAACAAACAAACAAACAAACAAACAAATAAAGAACTGTGATAGGAAAAAATAAAAAAAAACCAAAAACCTTGAAACATTTTCTATGAAAAAAAACCTTCTATTTCAGCTCCTAATAGTTCAGGCCAACAAAGGGGGATGTGTATGTTGTGAGCCCACCAGGATTTGTGTGCTTTTTGAGATAGTTTTTTGTAATAGCTGTATCTACTCTAACAGGAAAGGTTTTCAAATCCATTTTGGGATGAAGTGTACATGTGTGACAAATCAATACCTATTTCCAGCCACAAAATAATAGTTTAAAAAACAGAGTACCAAGATAATGACTTAATCTTTCGTGTTGCCTAATGCACATTAAATTGCTAGCTGAAACTGCAGAGGCTTTTATATCAACATGTATTTTCCTTTGACTCCCCTCTACAGAAGTGAAATGATTGTAGGGGAACAAGTGTGAATCACAGGATGTTTAAAATTCACCTCTGTTTAAAATTGAGTGGCATAAAACTATGCTGCTCACATGGGGCTACACATGAAAATGCTGCTAAGGAACAGATATAGGCAAGGACAGGACATGGGCACTCACAGAGATGAATCTAACAGATGTTTAGCATGAATTCTGCTGGAGGTGAATTTGGGTTTCCTGATTCCACCAGATTTCACTCTAAGGAAAATACTACTGTAGTACAAACTCTGACAGAAGAGGTGTCAAAAAAGAGAAGATGATGGCTGTGACGATTTGATTGAAGGACTGTTACTTTTTTGAGTTTTTGACATCTCTCTGCAGATCTTGCTGACTTCCCTACTGTTTGTACTCCCCCAATTAAATATTGATCCAAAATATGTCTGGAAAAAGAATATGCTTCAAGATGCAAGTTATATTTCGAAGGAAATTGTGTCTGCATCCCATTGTGTTCTGAGAAAAAAAAAGAAGATAATTGCTCATTTTGTAAACTCAAATGACCCGTCTCAAATTTTACCTCCACAGTTAGGTAAATAAAGAGAACAAGAATTATAGGTAGTCACTGTATGTACCTGTAAACAATTACAGTTATTCTTTTTCTGCTCCTCAGCTTGGAGAAGAAGTCTTAATCTGGAGAAAAACCTGGAATTCAGACCTACAAAGATGGAAAATAAATTGGAGATGGGTTTTGATCCTCGTTACCAGGAATGGAGGTGGTAGACTCCTGATGGAGTGGCATTGGGCTCAGAGGAGGAATGAAATGTTGGCAGAGACCCTGCTTACCTGCTGTGAATATAGATGAGGGAAGGTGTTGTGTATTGAGCAGGTTCCCTAGGTTGTGCCCCCTGTTGGAATGCATGAACGGGCTATTACATTGTGATTGGTTCGCTGGGCTGACAGCTAGTATATAAGAGCTGTCAGCGGGCTTTTCTCTCTGTTCGGTTCTGAGGAGACTGTGTTTCCGAGTCTCCTGTTTTGAGTTAAATAAAGAAATTACCTCAGGTGTTACCACTTGTTGTGGAGCCGTCATTAGCACCCAGCTGATATTTATTAGAAGGAGTTCTAGGAAAAGTTAGTGAAAATTGAAAACCAGGAACAGGAAAGTTTCTGGCAATACTTATGGACCTATATTGAGAGTATGCCTGTTTTTTAGGCTTGATTAAAAAATCCAAGCTCCAGTCAAGCTAATATAATATATTGGTGCTCTCTGAGCTTGCTTGTTTTCTTGCAGATGTTTCATTCCCCAAACTAGGTAACATGATTGTCGAGGTGTAAATAAATCAATGTACCGTAAAACCTTTATCTCTATTAAGATCTACTTTAACAAATGAGCCTCTGAAGCAGTTAACAATAAATGTTTTTTATTAATATAAAAACAAAACAATATCTATTCAAATCTTAAATAGTATTTCATTACTTTGCTTAAATATCCTGTCAACTATCTATCTATCTATCTATCTATCTATCTATCTATCTATCTATCTATCTATCTATCTATCTATCTATCTCTATATATCTATATATCTATATATCTCTCTATCTCTCTATCTCTCTATCTCTCTATCTCTCTCTATCTCTCTATCTCTCTCTATCTCTCTCTATCTCTCTCTATATCTCTATATCTCTATATCTCTATATCTCTATATCTCTATATCTCTATCTATATATCTATATCTATATCTATATCTATATCTATATCTATATCTATATCTATATCTATATCTATAGATATAGATATATATCTATATCTATATCTATATCTATATCTATCTATCTATCTATCTATCTATCTATCTATCTATCTATCTATGTATGTAATCGCTCTAATCGATGTTAGTTCTGGTTATTCTTCCTCAGAAGAAAGAGTCTTGTAAACCATCAGAACTGCATCAGAACTGCCCTTCTAACTGACTTCCAAACTGCCCACAGTTTTCTAACAGAAGAACTGAACAGAACTCTCCGAACTGCCAACTGCCTTCTGAACTGCCCTTTGGACTGCCAACAGTTTTCTGTCAAGAATCTCCTTTTATACTGTCTGTTATGTAAATAGGTTTGCTTGGCGGGAAGTTTGAATTAACTGACCCTCAGCTGATTGGCTGACCACCACAGCTGCAAGGTATATAAAGGGAGCTGTGTCCCTAGGTCAGTTGCTGGGTTCTCACCCTAATAAACAGAGCTGTTGTCACTCACTGCCTGGCTTGCTGCATCCTCATTCACCCAACTTAACACTGTCAACTGTGACAGTTAGGGGAGGGAACATTAAAAGCCCTGGAGATTCAAACCCATCAGCTGCCTTCTGATTGGCTCACTCACTTGTCCATTCCAAAAGCCATTAATAGGCACACCAATTGAGAAATAACTTTTCTCTCACAATCATCCGTGCTCGTAAGGAGGGCTATTTGCTGTCAGTTTACATTCTACTGACTTGCCCTGTCAATGGGGTGGGAATGGGTAGGATTCTTTGGTTGGGCTGTTTGCTGTTGGCTTTACTGATGGTTTACTGATAGCCATCAGTAAATAGCCCAACCAAAGAATCTTTAAGGTCGCCCCCACCAACACTGTCAGTCACCAGAATATAAACTGACAGCAAACAGCCCTCTTTACTAGCACTGATGATGTTACCTAGTTTGGGTAATGAAACGTCTGCAAGAAAACAAGCAGGCTCAGAGAGCACCAAGGACTCCTCATTTCAACCATGAGCTACAAATAATTCTCCTTTACTGGTAAGCTAATATATTTCAGATCATAAAGGTTCAATTATGACCACCAACTTGGTCACTTTTTCACTGTTCAAAACTGCCCTGTCTTTTCTGTTAGGAAATTCTTTAAGCTCTCTAAATGTATGCTGAAAGGAAGTCTTGGCCCAAATCAAAGATGAGAGCATCTTGAGTTTAGGATAGCTTTGAGTTTTAGTTTTTAAACTCTGATCAGTAATTGCAATACTCTTCTGTCCACTACAGTGTGATTCCCTTTCTTTCTCTTTGGAATTTAATTTTGGAAAGTCCATATTTGTTTAAACCAATTATCCCATGGGAAGGGTCAAGGCAGAAGCTAAACAGGCCAAATAAAATATACCCATAAAACGGGTGAGCACTACTGTTCTAATAATGGGAATTGAAGAATTCCTCTTAAGGACAACCGGTGAGTTTACAGCTGAAGTGGCTTTGGAAATGTAGATTCCATTGCTTTTGCTATATTAGACAGTAATTGGAATAAACATGTTGAAACCTAAAGACTGAAGAACGTGTCCATTTTTATTGATTTTGTCACAGCCCAAGGAACATGTGTTGGTGGGTCAGGTTAAAAAGAGATCTGTCTGTTTCTCAGATGTCTCCCCAGGTGATGAAGGTGCCAGGGAAGCTGGCAGACCATCCTAATCATGGAAGGAAGCCTTTGCATTCTCCAAAACTGGGTGACTCATGAGCAAGCATCAAGTTCCCTCCAGACCTGGCAGGCTGGCTCTTAGCCACAGCCAAATAAAGGATGCTGCAACTGAATGCCCTCTCCTCCTCCAGTTTGGGGGAGGGAATTTAAACATTTTTACAAATGCTTAGTTGCTGGAAGCAACTCTGACCTTTGCTTCCTTGCTTTGCGTTTTTGAATCCTGCAGCATTCTTCGACCTCAGCTTGTCCTGACCTTAACTCTGGCTCACTCCATTGACATTCTGAAATATTCCTATCTGTGCATCAACTTCGTAACACTCAGCTTTGATTCTTCTCTCTCCTTTTGCTCTTAGCGTGAGGACATCCTCCTCCTTCCCAGTAACTCAGTAAACATGTTGCCTCCACTTTTCTGTTTCTTTGCTTTGTGCTCTGTGACCTGCCTGGCAAACGTGCCCTCTTTTCCTTTGTTTTCCACCTCCCATTCGGGCACATACCTGTGGGTACTTAACTTAACTCTGGGTTGGCACTTTGAACTAGAACAGGCCAACAAACAGGCACAGCCGGGATTTCAACAAAGGCTTGGTTATTTGGAGTTTCTTTCTCATGCTTTTCTCTCTCTCAGTTCTGAATAATCTTTATATAATCTGAATAATCTCTGTAGGCCAGACAGGGTGCAGCAGACTAAAGTGCTGTTAAGGAGCACCAGCTGCCTGCAATTACTGCAAGTTCAAATCTCACCGGCTCAAGGTTGACTCAGCCTTCCATCCTTTTGAGGTAGGTAAAATGAGGACCCAGATTGTGGGGGCAATAAACTGACTTTGTATAAAAAAGAACACCGCTTGGGGGGGGGGTGGCGAAAGCCCTACTAAACAGGTATATACAAAAGTATGAAGGCTATTGCTTAACGCATTGTAAGCCACCCTGAGTCTCCGGAGAAAGGGCGGCATATAAATCGAACCAATAAATAAATAAATAAATAATGGATGGAAACTGATTAAGGAGAGATTCAACCTGGAAATATGGAGAAATTTTCTGACAGTGAGAGCAATCAAGCAATGGAACAGCTTGCCTTCAGAAGTTGTGGGAGCTTCATCACTGGAAGCTTTCAAGAAGAGACCAGACTGCCATCTGTCAGAAATGGTGTAGGGTCTCCTTCTTGGGCAGAAGGTTTAATTTCCAATTTATATACCGCCCTTCTCCCTGAGGACTCAGGGCGGTGTACAGCCAAGATAAGAACATAGAATACAAATATTAAAAACAGTTAAAAATATATATAAATTTGGCCCGAAAGTTAAGAAATCACAAACTGATTTAAAAAATTTAAAAATTTCTTCTTAAGCCAGCCCGGCTTGCTGGAAAAGATGGGTTTTAAGGGCACGACGGAAGGCATTGAGGTCATGGATTCTCCTTATCTCAGGGGGCAACTGATTCCAGAGGGTAGGAGCCCCCACAGAGAAGGCCCTCCCCCTGGGGGGTCACCAGCCTACATTGTTTGGCTGATGGCACCCTGAGGAGGCCCTCTCTGTGGGAGCGCACGGGTCGATGGGAGGTCGTCGGTAGCAGCAGGCGGTCTCGCAGATAGCTAGGCCCTATGCCATGGAGCGCTTTAAAGGTGATAACCAACACCTTGAAGCGCACCCGGAAGACCACCGGGAGCCAATGCAGCTCGCGCAGGAGCGGTGTTACATGGGAGCACCATGTTGCTCCCATCACTACCCGCGCTGCTGCGTTCTGGACCAGTTGGAGCCTCCGGGTGCTCTTCAAGGGGAGCCCCATGTAGAGAGCATTGCAGTAGTCCAGGCGAGAGGTGACGAGGGCGTGAGTGACTGTGCACAAGGAATCCCGATCGAGAAAGGGCCGCAACTGGCGAATCAGGCGAACCTGACAGAAGGTCCCCCTGGTAACAGCCGTCAGATGTTCCTCCAAAGACAGCTGCCTATCCAGGAGGACTCCCAGATTGCGAGCCCTTTCAGTGGGGGCCAAAGACTCGCCCCCAATAGTCAGTGATGGAGTCAACTGACTATATCAGGATGCCGGGAGCCACAGCCACTCAGTCTTGGAAGGGTTGAGTTTGAGCCTGTTCCTCCCCATCCAGATCCGCACAGCCTCCAGGCACTGGGACATCACTTCAAGGGCATCGTTGGGGTGGCCTGGGGTGGAGATGTACAGCTGGGTGTCATCAGCGTACTGATGGTATCTCACCCCGAAGCCATGGATGATCTCACCCAGCGGCTTCACATAAATGTTGAACAGAAGGGGTGAGAGGACCGATCCCTGCGGCACTCCACAGATGACAGGCCTCGAGGTCGACCTCTGCCCCCCTGCCAACACAAACTGCGACCGGTCGGAGAGAAAGGAGGAG